GGGTTCTACTTTCTTCATAATTATTAGCCCAGTGATGGCCATAAACAAACCGATTATTAAATATCTATAGACTAATATGTAGATTATTCTCTTGCCCTCAACTGGTAAAGCAGCAACTAGCCTCTATATAAAAGGGCTTGAATGAGGAATAAGGAAAGAACTAATAATTTATACTTTCTCATATGTGTACACCAGGAAATCTCATCCCCTAAGACAAAGGGTTTTTTACATAATTATATTAAAACCCCATACTCTAATTAGCAGTGGGAAAATGAGAGTATAACAGCAAACAGGGCAATGTGGTTAACACTATAAACAACTTGTCTGCACATTTCTTGCCTCCTGGCAGCGGAAATGAGAACTTGAACATGCTCTTTGCCTCTTATCTTGTCTTTTTATTGTAATAGTTACATATGCCAAAAAATATATGTTGTTATAAAATCATTAATTTTAGCTATAATTCAGGTTTGCAAATGATATTACACAGGTCTGTGTTGTAAAGTAAAAATTCTTGACTAGAAAATAATCCAAAAAAGGAGAAAAAAAAATGAACTCCTAAAATTATTTCACCAAAATCTATTACATCAGCGTGTTACCTAGGAAAATGTTTTCTTATCATAAAAGTGTTTCCAACATTTGCAGCCGGGTAGTCCCTGATTCACAACATACTGGAATTGTGGTGAAACACACTTACTACGTATTTCATATAATGTGGCAGTGCATAGTTTGCTCATGACTCAATGGATAATTTGTTGACAGAGATCAGACTTCTAAAGATATAGAAAATAAATGTTAGAATGATAAAAATTGTAAAAAATTAAGGTATTAGAATTGTATTAGAACCAATTTACAACAGTTATACAAACTGAATCATGTTGTAAACTGGGAAAATTTGATAGTTTATGTGTATTAGATAAAATTATTTGCCTATTAAACAAGTCTTAACTACATGGGGCTCATGGAGGTATATGCTAATAGTATATCTTTCTAATTTTATTTTCTCTAGTACTCTATAACTTGTGGTTGCTGTGATGCTAAACACTGTAACACTGATGTGCCAAATGTGATAATTGTCACGCACAGAGGACAGTGTTTGGTGAAGCTTCCCAATTAAAACAAGCTTGGAAGCAGGAGTGGCATCCACTTCCAAAATGGCCTGCCCCCAAAAACTATGAACAGTGCTCAAGCCTTTCATTCATAGGGTTGCTGTGAGTCGTCTATGACTCCACGGCACCTAACAACAACAACAACAATATTTTCATTATTTCTGATCTTCCCATAGATAATTGTTCTTCACATTTGAGCATTTCAAATGCTGTTTTTGTCAAATATATTTTGTTTCTTCTTTTTATGGCTTCTTATCTTCTTATAAAAAATTATTAATTTTTTTTCACATACTTTGGGCTATTCCATGGAAAGCGACAAAATGCTTAGAAAAGTGGAGGCTCAGCGAGAGGAAGACCCTCACCCAGATAGATTGACACAATGACTGCCACAATAAGATCAAGTATGTCAGAGATGATGATGATGAAGGCACAGAATAGGACAAGGATCTGTTCTTCCTAGGATCACTATGCATAGTACTCGGCTCAATGGCACCTGCCAACAATAACCACCTTGTTAGAATACATGCTTTTATTTACTTTCAGCACTGAAATGTTGTCTTACAAATGCAAAATTCCTCAAGAATTTTACAGAGCTAGAAAATCTGATTGGTAATAAGAACTAAAAATAAAATTATTTCTTTGAAATATAATTATAATATTCTCATAGAATCAATCTAACACTACCAGCTTACTTAATATTTCTTGAAATGTCATGATCATGCATTTGTTGTTATGTTCTACATATTAGTTTTCATAGTATTACTGAAACTATAGCTATGCTTAAAAATGTAATAATGTTGTTGTTGTTGTGTACCATCAAGTCAGAATTGACCCCCAGCTGACCCTCTGTTAGGTTTTCAGAAGCAGTTAAAAACACGGAGGAGACTGCCCATTTTTTTCCCACAAAGCTGTTGGTGGATTCAAACTGCATGCTTCGGGATTACATCACAACTTCTGACCATCAGGCCACCAGAGTGTGGGGGGGAAAAGTCAATTTTTAAGTAGGAGTACTAAATAAAACATAAACTCTAGTAAACTAATTCGCTAAGCAATATGTTGTCGTTGTTATGTGATGTCGAGTCGCTTGCGACTCATAGCTACCCTATGTACAACAGCCCTAAACTCTGCTCTGTCTTGTGCCAATCGCACTGTCTCTGACACTCCCATCCCGATTATCCCAGTCACTGAATCAATCCACCTCACAGAGGGCCTTCCCCTCCTGCGCTGTCCCTCCACCCTCCCAAGCATGATGTCCTTCTCCAAGGACCGGTCTCTCCTCACAACATGTTCAAAGTATGTCAGATGAAGCCTCAGAATCCTTGCCTCCAAGAAGCTGCCCATTTTAAACCCTCTCCAGGATGAATCTGTTTGTTTTCCAAGCAGTCCATGGTACCCTCAATACTCTTCCCCAGCACCACAGCTCAAAGACATCAATTATTATGTAAATTTTCCAATTTATATGTTTTGGTTTTAAGTTCTGCATTTTAGATATATAATATTAAAATGCTCATTATTACCACTGACTATTATTAATTCTATTTGATTAATACCTACATATCCAGGACTGTCATGTTAATGTTAGATCTCAGAAGATTAAACAACATTGTGTATTAATTATTACCACAAAAGTAGCATCATTAAAGGACAATCATTAATAGCACTTCAGATTTGTGGATCTCATCTACCAAACCACAAATCAAATTTGCATAGTCTTCATTTATTTTTTTATTAGCTGTTCCTATTACACAGAATTCCCTGTTGAAGTATAGCGTGCTAGTATGAGCTACTGTATTTGTCACTGATTGGCCTTACACAAAAGCAAGTGCTACTTGTTAACTAGATTTATTTAATGGCATTGTCATTGTAATTTTAAAATGCTTTGTTGAGAACACTTTCTACTAGAGCTTACAAGCATTTCTTAAATTTTTACAAATACACATTTTTATCTCAGAAAAGGTCAAGTGGAAATAATTAAGTACATTTATTAAAAACAAGAACATATCTTCATGCTTATTTTATAAATGTAAGTAATTTTCTATACACTAAAATGAACATCAAAGATTAGGAATCTATCTTATTCTCATGGCCAGTATGCAAAGAATACTGAACAGTAAGGTAGAAAGGGAAAGTGTTTCATAAGTAAATAAGTATAGAACCATTATACTTAAGAGAAAGAAATATCATATTTCTATTAGAAAATAACTAAAGAACCATTTTGTCATACTTCAGAACTACTCTTGTGAGTTTATTTAACAAGGTGTAATTTCCCCTTAATGACCTCTACATACCATTATATGGATTAAGAATGTTTTCTGACACAGGAGGAATCAACAAAATTATTTCAGAAAATATAATGAGGAAGAATTCTTAGCAGTGGAATAAAGTTTGTACCCTAACATAAGCATGATCACATTCAATATCAGCCCTTTGGGAAAAGTCCCTACAGATAGGTAAGGCGTTCATTTGTTACAATATCACCATCTTTCAATAAAACAAGTGTACCAATAAAATACATATAATATACAACATAACAACTCATATAAAACATATTTTTTAAAAAGCTATCTTCCACCACATACACAAGCACAGTGAAAGAGAGTTATAATAATCTTAATTTCATTATAAAAGTGTATTCCGTAACTTTCCTCACTGTAATGCAACTTAGAATGGATATATGGGCATTGGAAAGCTCCTTCAAGAAAATCTGTTGACTCTGCCCATCCCCTTTTCTCTTTCTTTTCTGAACATTCACTCAGGATACTTTCATGGAGAGCACATGCTTGTCTTCGACACGTTACATGCCATTACCACAAGAATTAACTATTTTTATAACTAGTTCCATTTTAAATGTTTTCATTTCCAGAATTCCTAAATTGCCAATGATTCAATCAAAAGTAACGCATTCTGTTAGAGTCCTTCATTGCACTTTTGGCATTAGAAAGCGTTTCCTGTCTCCCTTGCTTCTTTCTAGTCTGGGTATTGCTCACCGACTGAGCGCAACGTTGTGATCTAGTTTAGATGAGAGGAGCACAATGTCCTCTCCTAGGCAAAGAAGGAGGTTCATCTCTCTAGTGGTAGTTCTCAGATAAAGAATCACCGCATGACTGGCCACTCCATGTCTTGAGAAACTGTGGCACCATGTCACTCCAAAGTGCCAACAGAAAGACAGCACTGCTCCCTATTTCTTCTCTCTAACCTGTTTCCTGTCAATTAGGACACTTGACAGACATTTCTTTCCCTCCCATCACCACATGAGTGAAGGAAAAGGATTTGTTTTCTTCTGTAAAGTAAAATCAGACTGGAACTAATAGGAGCTGATGGTTTTCCCAAGTTGGCATAAAGCTGTAAAAAGTGGGGCTGGGCATGATGTCACAGTTAAATATAAGCACTTGGGTAGAAATGTTATCTTAAGTTGTCACAAAACCCCATATTCAGATAAAGAAATAGAAATATTTTCCATCACCTCTGGTAGCCAAGAAATTCTTTTCAGAGGTGCTTCCTTTTTGAGTTTTCCCAATTTGAATGCAGCAACGAAGTAATACCTTAAATATTCATGATCTGTGTATATACTGAGTAACTTACAACAGAATACAAATTTTTTACCCACCATAAGTAATGTGATAAATTCTCTCACAGTATTTTTTCTATTGTAATATGCTTAAAATATGAAAAGGTTCGAAAATCATGGTAAAATTTCAACATCAAAGCAACGGATATTATATTCATTGTCTCTGTGGATAGACCACTATCGACAAATGGTTTTCCAACAAAGCAAGGTTTTGAAAGTGGTCTTTTATAATACATGTCCCATTCCTCATTTAGGTTAAAAGTTGCATGCTCACAAACACACACAACCACAAACATTTAAAAAAAAAATTGAGACAGAAAACTTACACAATTTCATCATTCTGGAATTCGAGTTCTCCACACGTGTCCTCAAAGTCCTCTCCTCCACCTCTGGCGGTCCCTTCAACGGTTTTATAGGGAACAATAACATTTCCTCGTGCTCCCGATGTTCTCAGGACCTTCACCTCCATGATGCCAATGCTCTCACTCACATGTGTCACAGGCTCCTCAAAAGTAAAGATGCCCGCGTGGTCATCGTCAAAAATCGTCACGGTGGCTGTAGAGGGAGACCCGAGGCAGGCGAGGGTCGAAATGTGATTGGCTTCCAGAATGCCATCTTCTGAAGCTTCAGAAGACACTTTGACATTGCTGAGGTGTACAAGGAAATTCTCATCCTCCTCGAAGATGTCATCGTCAATGATGCCCACTCTGATTTCCTTCTGGGTCTCCCCGGGCTTAAAGACAACAGTCCCTTCGGTAAACTCATAGTCAGACCCGGCATTGGCTGTGCCATCCTCTGTTCTAAAGTCCACAAACACGGTGTTGGTTAAATCACCACCTCTGCGGATTATGGTGAGGGCAACAGTCCCACAGTTCTCCAGACACTGGTAAGTCCCTTGCTCAAAGAAGATCTTACTAACGGGGTCATTCTCTGTCATGTCGGTGTTGACCTCGTGCATGCTGACGGCCTTCCTCGCCTGGTCTGCTGCATGCCTCTTTAAAATGTTGCCAGCTCCAGTCATCAAGCGAGTTGCCTGGATGCGGTAAAACGCGCGGCTCTTTTGCTGCTGACTGAGGACTTGATAGTTAGCTAACTCGATTAGTTGCTCTATTTCTTTCTCTGGATGCTTTTGCTTGAGTTCCTTCAGAATCCTAGCCATTTCCCTCCTGGCCTCTTCGTCATCTTGGTCCTTCTCATCAACCTCCAGAACCAGAGCACCATCTAAGAAATTGTCAACATGAGAATTGACCACTTTCCCATCCATTTCGATTTCGGTCTTGGATGATGGCCTGTCTCCTTCATGTTCAATAATCATTCCCCTCTGCTTGCCAGCCCGATACCGCTTGTAGACATACTTGTAGAACAGAAGCCTCCTATCTGCAACCCAAGCGAATACGACACAAATGGGAAAGAAGAAGAAAGTAAGCAAGCCTTCCCAGACCTCCACAACTCCAGGAGAGATGACAGACAGAATTATGTAAAGCCAGGTGTAGGCAAAGATGCTCCAGGCTGCTGTTACAAAGAACACACGCAGATGCTTTATTTTCCTTGTTTCTCCATCAGGGACCACGTACACGCAGAGGGCGATGATGATGAACATATTGAATGCAGCACTTCCCACGATGGTGCTGGGACCCAGGTCTCCTGCAGTGAAATTGTGACCACAAACTTCAATGACTGAAAGGAGAATCTCAGGTGCAGAAGATCCCAGAGCCATCAAGGTTAGATTAGAAACTGTCTCGTTCCAGATTCTTACGGTCGTCTTGGTCGTCTCTCCATTGGGTTTCTTTATGGTTATTTCCTTTTCTTGAGATGTAATGACTTCTATCGAGGACATGAACCGGTCAGCAATGATAGATACTCCAAGAAACATGTAAACCATGGCCACGAAATACACAGTAGCTCTCGCAATTTTGTCCCCAAAGGAAGGGTCTTGGGGCTCCCAAATGGGTAAAATCACTCCTTTCTTACAGTAATACGAACCGGTACATTCGCCAGTGTCATTTCCTTCTCCTTCCATTTCACTCTCAGCACGAATGTGGTCCACGTGGGAAAATAAGAGCGCCACAATGGCTAACAGATGAAATCCCATAGAGAAAGTGGAGGTGAACCCCAATGGCAGCATTTTGTACAATGGCAGACTTCCAACTGTTCCAACCTATGGGCAGAAATTAGATAGGGGGAGGGTAAAAAATATATATTTATATATCATTAGAACAAAATAATGAGTTACTTTCATTTTAATTTTTTTTTCAATTACTGATGTCTATCTGGTCACCACAGAATCTAAGGTGAATCATCATTGTTCTAAGAAACCATTAGCTATTGAGCAAGACTTTGTAAATTATTGGCAATCTCAGGTTTCTCAGTTCTCAACACGTAGTCCCCATTCACTGAGCCAGATAACACAATTGACTTATTGGAAAAGAAAAGTTCAATTATAACTCTGGCTTATTGAATACACATTTATTCATGTTAACAGCCAATAAGAAAAAAAAAGAAAACTTTTGAAGCATTAAGTAATTTTCTCCTTGCTGCCAGAGCAGATTTTCTTTCAAAGTTTGGTCAGTACATCATCTTCCAGCAGTCATTTTGCTGCCAAAAATCACTTTATTAAGATTGATGTATGGAAATTAAGACTTTGAAAAATTCTATCATGGGATCTGGTGATCATCTTAAATTATACACACACTGTGCTTTACATTGCATTTCATGAAATCCTGTCCAATTGCTCCAAACCTACTTGAAAAACAAAGAAATCTTCAGGCTTGTCTGTAATCAAAGCGCAACAGTATTTACACTTGGGAAAAAAAAATCTTCTATGATGTAATATTTCCACACATTGAAAACAGTTTTTAAAAGCATGTTTGGATGAGAGTACATTTCCTTCTAACCCTCAGAAAGCTCAGGACTTCTGTTCCATTAGCAACCAGGCATCTGGTTCATCAAACACAGTTCTTCATGCCTGTGTTCAGATCTTATTTAAAATCTGTAGGCTGTCCACAAAAGGAAAGGGAGACAACTGGGCCTGGATCTAGGTGTAGGAAAAGTATCCAAGCCTTGCAGTCTGTGAAATCAGCATTGTAAGTCATTAAACGCTACATCTATGGGCTGATGTTAAACTTTCCAGGGTCACTTGAAACATAAGCTAGTTCTACAATGGCTCCATGTAGCAATAACAACAAAAACAAAAAAAAATCAGGAAAAAAAATTCCACATTAACTAGTTAATGCAATACAAAGACACTGACTACACGGGACATGCATGATGAAGAGTTACCAGTAATTAAGACTGTAGTCCCTGAGCAGCACAAAGTTTGGGGGGTAAAGAAGTGGACTGAGCCACTGGAGCTCTATACACACACACACACACACACACACACACACACCCCGAGCTCAATAAAAACTCAACTCTGTCTCCAGGACCTGTGTGAACAATAAGTAGAAAACAGCATGCTCGAAATAAGAGGAACTCTACGCTGAAAACCAAGCAGAAGGAGCTGGTTACCACACCAGATAAAGGGGTGATTCAAAGGAGTCCTTATTCAGAACACAGTTTTATTATTTGACAAAGGGTTAAAAGAGAAGCTAGATTAGAGATTGTCACAGGTCAGGATGGCTGATGGCCTCCCTGCCCAAACTACTCCAGTTCCCCAGTGGACAGCCTACAATGCCACCGGGCCCAGCACATTTTGCCAGATCCTCAGAGACATGGCCTAAAACCTTTTCTGTTTTATCACCATTAGGAAATAAGGTCCTTTGGCAATTCTCCCATACTAAAATGGACAATGAAATCTTGAGTGTTACAGTGGCACAATTCAAATATAAGTAAAAAGACTAAAAATATGGAAGAAGCTCTTTTTTATTAATATGCAAAATGCTACAGTGTATCTAGTTATTTCCTCACTCATTATGTGGCTCAGGTAAGTTGCAAAATTTCTGCTGGGGGGAAAAAAAGGTGTCATACAACTAGAGTTAAGAGTTTCATGAAAACTCATTCCATAATCTCTAATCATTTACTCTTGAGATATTTACGATTGCCTTTATAGAGAGCTCTGGTAGCCTACTGGTAAGAAGCTGAGCTGCCATCCCAAAGACATGTGGTTCGAGGCCACCGGGTGCTCAATGGGAGAAGGATGGGCAATCTCCTCCCATGCAATTAACTGCCTCTGAAAACCTGCTGGAGAGTCAGCTATGGGTCAGTTCCAACTCGATGGCACACAACAACAACACGTCTCAGGAGCTCTGGTGGCTTGTCTGTAGAAGCCATACTGCTAGCCACAAAGCCAAGTTTCTCTGGAAGTTTAAATCCACCAGCTGTTCCAAGGGAGAAAGATGAGCCATCTCCCACAGTGTGATTTACATCTTCTGCAAACCCTCTACAATGAATCTAGCTATGAATCAGCTGGACTCAACTGCAGTGACTTTGACTTTGATATGACTTGCTAGGTTCTCATCTCAGTCCTGACAATTCATTAATGAATAAAACAAAGCCCCTATCATCAATGAGCTTATATTCTAATGGGGAAAAACATATAAATATAAATGTCAGGTGGTAAAATGTGCTATGATGAGACAGGGAGGAGTACTATAAGGAGGACACGTGTGTGTATGTTTGTGTGTGTACGAGTACACAGCATGGCATGTACAGATTTATTCTAGATAATTAAGAAAGGTCTCTCTGAGAACATGGCATTTGAGTAAAGTCAGGAAGGAAACAAGGGATCAGATACAGTGGCTATCTGCAGAAAGAGAATTCTCAGAAAGGGCTAGCAATTCATGTGCTAGGATGCAGTGGGGATAGATTTCTGAGAGGGAAGAGAACGTTGAAGCCACTGCCATGGGATGTTTTTTATTAAAAAGGAGATGGGAATCATTTGAACGTTCTAATCAGAAGTAAGGGAGCACTGGTGGCCTAGTGGCAAGAAGGTGCATTGCAATCCTGAAGGCATGCAGTTCAAATCCCAAGCTGCTCCAGGGGAGAAGGATGGCAATTTCCTCCTCTGTGATTAACTGTCTCTGAAAACTTGCTGGAGGATCAGCTATGGATTGGTTCTACACTTGATAATACACAACAACAACAATAAGAAGTAAGAGGGAGTTCTGGTGACCTAGTGGTAAGAAGCTGCACTACAATCCAGAAGGCACATGGTTCAAATTACAACTGCTCCACAGGAGAAAGATGGACAACCCCCTGGCACTAAGGACATGAATTCCAATATCAGATAGATTTTGCCTAAAATCACAGAGTACCAGAGGAATATCTATCTCTGTTTCATTGACTATGCAAAGGCATTTGACTGTGTGGATCACAACAAATTTTAGTTAACATTAAGAAGAATGAGAATCCCAAAACATTTGATTTACTCATGAAAACCTATACTTGGATCAGAGACAATAATCAGAACAGAGGAAGGAAACACTGTGTGGTTCAAAATAAGAAAAGGAGTGTGTCAGGGATGTGTCCAGTCTCCATGCATTTTCAATATATAAACAAAACAAATCATTCGTGGGGCTGCATTTATTATGAGGAATGTGGCATCAAAATTGGAGGAAGATTCATCAACAACATATATTATGCAGATGAAACAGCCTTGTTTGCTTAAACTGAGGAGAACCTGAAGCATTTGCTGCAGAGAGACAAGGGTTTTGCAATATGTATTGATGCTCAACATCAAGAAAACAAAGATTCTCACAACTGGACCCATTGGGAGCATGATGGATAAAGGAGATTGAGATTGTTAACAATTTCAGCTTGTTCAGTCCACTATCAAAATTCTTGGTATTCAAGGATGTCAAAATACAAATTTAAGTAGGAAAATTTGCTGTCAGGGAACTCTCCAAAGTGCTGAAGAGCAATGCTATCAGTCTAGAGACTAAGGTGTACCTGATCCTGGCCATAGGCTTTGCAATTACTTGCTGTGCATCTGAGAGCTAGATAATGACCAAGGATGATAGAAAAATTATTGAAGCCTTTAAGTTGCGGTGCTGGAGAAGAGTATTAAACATACCATGAACTGCCAAGAAAACTAATAGGTCTGACCTGAAGGACGTGAAACCAAGTTGCTCCTCAAAGGCAAGAATTTTGAAACTCCATCTCACAAACTATGGTCATGTAGCCAGGAGAGAGCCAGAGTTTGGAGAGGGATTTCATGCTTGGAAGGATTGAGGAAAAGAACAGGCGTGGAAGATCCCAGATGAGATGGATTGACACAATAACTGGGGAAATGGAGGTAGGTAATGTTCAAGACAGTGAGATTATCTCAGGATAGAACAGGATTCAGAGCTATTGTGCATAGGGTCGCTATAAGCCATGGTTGACTTGATGAGAGCAACAAGAAGAAGTAAGACAGCTGATTTTTCTTTTAAAAGAATCAGACAATTGGAGTATTGAATTGATGTTACGGAATAAAATGTGGATAAATGTTTGGTTTGTAAAAGCTTGCGATATGCTCTGTAAACGTAAACTCAAGTCACATTTTTTTTAAAAATGGAGGAAAAAGTATTTCTGCTTGCTTGGTAGAAAACAGACTGAAGGGGCAAAAGGCAGAGACAAACCAGATTTTGCCTGTCCTGAAATGGCTCGTCTTTATAAAAGACCTCGCTGCATGGCAAATACATCAAGTAAGAGACTAAAGATTTAACCTTGAGAATAGAGAAGGAAATATCACTTAAAATGTCTAGGGGGTTTGTTGTCGCTGTTGATAGTCTTCACATCAAGCACTACTCATAAAGACCCTATGAACAAAAGGCTTGAAGCCCCTCTACAGATACTGACAGTTATCAAAGTTCATAGAGTTTCTGGTGGCATGTCGTTTAGGAAGTGAATACAGCTCCTGTTTCCAACTATGGGGTTTATAAGGGTTAGTTAGAATGGTTAAGTGTTTATACTGAACAGAGATTCAAAACCATGACTATCTCCAAGACTAGGATAATGAAATTAAACATTCCATTCAAGTAACTGTCTAATATCAACTTTCTGTTCTTCACATTTGGCAAAAGTGAACTTTAGAAAGCACAGATCTGATTGTCTTACTACACTGGAAACTCTTCACTGAATGCACATATGCATCATAGAAACAGTTAATAAAAAGTGTTAATGGGTCACAAAGATCTCAGATGTCAC